CAGGGGGTGAGAAGCAGGGGGGGTCGGATGGGGCAGAGCCGGGCCACGCCTGGCTGTTTGGGGAGGCACAGGCTCCCCTAACCGTCCCTCCATACAATTTCCGAAACCCGATGTGGCCCTCAGGCCAAAACGTTTGCCCACCCCTGCTATAAAAGCTCCACGGCCCAGCTGTGCCACAACAACTGTTTTTCTGCATATAAAAGCCAGCACTAAAGGGTAGCAAGCAGAGCAATTGCCCAGGGTCCCATGCCACGGGGGCACAGCAAAACTAAATTGCTCAGGCTTCGCTTCAGCCCGGGATGGTGGGGCTCAGGGTCCCAGGCTGCAGTCCTGCGCTGCGGGGCTTTGGCTTTCTGCCCTGGGATGTAGTGAGTCTAACACTGGCCCTGCTTGGCAGACCCACTGAAACCTGGTCATGGCCCCCCAGGGGGCCCCAGACCCCTGGTTGAGAACCATTGATCTAGTACAGCTCCCCTGTGCTGAGGAAGAACTAAGTAAACCTAGATCATTCCTGATAGGCATTTGTCTGTACTGTTCTTAAAAACCTCCCATGACAGGGATTCCACAACCTTACTTGGAAGCCTATTCCAGTGCTTAACTATTCCTACAGTTAGAACATTTTCTTAATATCTAATTTAAATCTCCCTGGCTGCAGATTAAGCCCATTACTTCTTGTCCTACCTTCAGTGGACGTGGAGAACAATCGATCCCTGCCCTCTTTGTAACAGCCCACAACAGATTTAAAGACTGTTATCAGGTGGGTCTGACTCCTCCCCGCCCCCAGTCTTTTTTTCTCAAGGCTAAACATGCCCAGTTTTTTTTAACCTTTCCTCAGAGGTCGGGTTTCTAAACTTTTTACCATTTTGGTTGCTCTCCCTTGGAGTCTCTCCAGTTTGTTCACATCCTTCTTAAAGTGTGGTGTCCAGAAATGGACACAGTACTCCAGCTGAGTCCTCACTAATTACAAATAGAACTGGACAATTACCACCTGTGTCTTACATATGACACTCCTGTTAATACACCCCAGAATATTAGCTTTTTTATATTGTTAGCATCGCATTGTTGACTCATATTCAGTTTGTGAACCACTCTAACCCCCAGATATTTTCCAGAAGTACTGCTGCCT